GGCATGGTATGGCACATGGTTTTAGTAAGCAGAGTATAATAAAGAGGAACATTTTATTACCTTCGTTTGCAGACACTTTACTGCTTATTTCCAGGAAGTCAGTTGTGCTGCTGGTTTCTGCACACACAGTGTGTGCCCCGTTCAGACCATGCATGTACATTAAAGTGACATTAAAGTAAAAAAAAATGTTTCCCTCCCACCAATGTTAATGTCAGCACTTACCTTAAATGATGTCTCTTAATCCGATCTTCTTTCCTGATGTTTTCATCTGTCCCTCCAGCAGTGCGGCGGGTCTCCGATCCAGCGCTGACTGCTCTGTCCCTCCAATCCAGCGGTGCCTGCATGCGATTGCACGCGCCCATAGGCTTACCTTGCGTCTCTGCTCGTCTCCCACCCGAGAATCCAAACTGCGCATGCACCCTCCCCAAGATGCTTTGCGGCCGCCCGAGCAGTTTCGGATTCTCTGACAGGAGCGTGCGACGAAAACAAAGTAAGTTTAAACCGCTGTTAAAGCGTTTTTTTTAAATTTTTAAAAACTTTTTGCCTATATTTACTGCTTACTAGCAGTAGATGGAGGCAAAAAAAATGGAGGGTTTAGAACCCTGAACATGGTGTGAATAGGCCCTTACTCTATGTACTGAAAACTCCTCCAATTTTTAGACTGGTGCCATGGCTGACCAGTTCATCGAAGATGTTTTTTATAAATGGATACAAACATCCCCACACCTTAATTTTTAACTGTTGTTCATGTGCAGCTCAGACCTGCAACAGGAGAAAAGCAATGCCCATAGGATTGTTCTATTAAACTGATCAAATTCACCCGGTTAAGGTATATACTTTGAATGTGAATGTAAAATATCTCAAACAATCCCTGTTGGGTAGAATGTTAGAAAAGATCATTCTAAATGCAGCTTTATATGGGCACCAATGGGTTAAAACATGTTCCAGCAGCTTGTATCTTTCTGAGTCTCCGGAGTCCTATGTTTACAGCAGTTGGGCATAAATGGGGATTTCTCAGCAGTGTAGTCCCCGAGAGATCATATAAAGCTGTATGCAAACTCTTCAGCAACTGCATTTTAACACCTTAGATTCTTGAGCTTGTCAGCCAGGGAAGCGGCAAAAAAAAAAAAGCCAAAACTGCTGCTCAGCAGCCTTTTTTTTTATTAATTAAAAAACAAAAAACTGTTCTCTTCTGCCATAAAGGCTTCTTGCTGCTAATCAGCATTTTTCCCCCCAGCAGATGGAGCTGCACATGCTCAGCTTAGGTCCCAGACTCGGTATGCCGAGATAAAGTTACTCCCGTACACAGCCAATCAAGCATCTGAAGACCAGGATGAGGAAGGAAGCATCGGTCAGGGAGGAGTGTAGTGCTAGAGGGGATTGTTTAGGCCAGGGGTCAGCAACCCGCGGCTCTGGAGCCACATGTGGCTCTTTCATCTCTCTGCCACGGCTCCCTGTTCAGGGGCGGAACTACTGCCGGGGTCAGAGGCTAGGGGGCGGGCAGTGAGGTCCTGGGCAATAACTGCACACTGTGCTATTATTTCATTTAATTAGAAAAGTTGATTATAATGGGCAACATTACACCGTAATGTTGCCCATTATAATCTATTTCTCTGATTTAAATGATTAGACAGGGCCGCTGTTCTATCAAAGTTTGTGACTAGGTTGGAATGTGTGAACGGTGACGTGGTCATACATTTCAATGTAATCCCGCCCAGTTTTTTGGCGGTGGAATGTGTGACCACCAATAGGTCAAGCATTCCAACAATTTCTCAGCACTCACAGTCGGATAGAAGTGACATTTCAGGACCGAACAGCTGATCCAGGGCAGAACAGTTCTCCTGCACATACGATTTGCGATGACGATCTGCCCTGGAACAGCTGAGAAAGCGTTGGAATGCTTGACCTATTGGCGGTCACGCATTCCACCGCCAAAAAACTGGGCAGGGTTACATTGAAATGTGTGACCACATCACCGGTCACACATTGTAACGTAGTCGGGGGGGCCTCTTACATGAGTATCAGCTGTACCAGGGGAGGGGGTGGAGGAAGCCAGGCCCCAGCAGCAGGTAAGAGGAGTTGGGAGGAGGTACAGGGAAAGGGACCCCAGCGACCATCCCACCTGAGATCCTGCAGAGCCCACCATAGATAGTCTCAGATGGGCTGTGCAGGATCTATGGTGTGCTCTGCAGGGTCACTCTCAGATGGGCTCTGCGGGGTCTCCGGTAAGCCCAGAGTCCAGTGCGTTACTAAGCCCACATATACCTATATACATGCTATATATAGCATAAAGGTAAAAAACGATATATGCAGTGTTATCTTCATTTTAGATGTCAAAAGGGTTTTGTGGCTCCCGGTGTTTTCTTTTCTGTAGGAAACGGGTCCAAATGGCTCTGAGTGTTTAAGGTTGCTGACCCCGGGATTACGCAGTTAAAGGGAACTATGAGGTAAGTGGTTTTCTCCATAGTTCTCTTAAGGGTCACAGGAGGATATATACTAACCTCCTCCCGTGACCCAAAGCTCAGTATATAGCAAGCTACAACTCGCGGTATGCTGAGACCTTCGCAGCTGGGACAGATCCCAACAATTCTGTCGAGAGCCACCCAGCTGGATGAGTGACAGCTGGCTCTGCCTATCTGCCAGCTTTACCCTCCCCCATCCCTTCCTCCAGTCAGCGCTGGAATCCCTGCAGGGAGCCGTGAGTGACAGTCACGTCTCTGCAGGGACATGATCGAGAAGTGAGCGAGCGACGGTATGTGTTCGCTCACTTCCCGATCTATTGAGCTGACGTTGCACGTTGGCTCGAACTATGAGGCTGAGTGATTTTCAGTTGTGCATGGCAACCAATCGGCTTCCTTTCATTTTCAAATCTTAACTGAACAAACTAAAGAGAGACGCTGATTGGTTGCTGTGGGGAATTGCTCCAGATTCTTTGTGTTCCAGTTTTGATAAATTCCCCCCACTATGTCTAAAAGCTCCATTTTAAAATTAGACTAAACATTTTTTTGACATAAAAAGCAATAAAAGATAACTGCGTTTCTGGCTGAAAAGGAATTTGGAAAAAAAAAAAAGGCATAATGGGGGGCTTTTTATCAAAACTGAAGCAGCTGCCCATGGCAACCAATCAACTTCTATCTTTTATTTTCAGAACTAAACTGAAGAGAGAAGCTAATCGGTTGGGCAACTTCTCTAGATTCTGTCTGCTCCAGTTCTGATAAACCCCCTCCCCCCCAAGCTGCCAGGCTAAATGTCTACAATGTAAAAAAAAAACACCTTTGTCCGAGCCTTCCTGAGAGAATTCTACTGGAGAAAAAACAAAAGTATAACTTGTATTAAGTTTCATTGTTACTGATTCCGGAAGATTTGATGTATACATAGCGTTGTATGGGGTACAGCTGCAGTGTAACCCAGTGTTTCATAAAGCCATGAATCAAGGGAACAAGAGCATTCTGACTGGCAGCACGTTGGGGCCCATAAGAGACCATTACCCCACGTACCCCTTTGCTTATTGCAAATTAGCGTAAAACAAGCCAGGAACACTAAAGAACACCCATCTAAACAACAATTTATGGGCATGTACAAAATGGAGTACAACAGTGCAATAACCCACAATTGTCTTTCCTAATATTAGTCCAGAAGAAGATAGACCCTGACTGTGCTGAACAACCCCGTTAGTGTCAAAGGAGTTTCTGTAAGCTTTGCTAATATACTGTTTACATCACTCAGCAGCCAAAGAATTCTGTGTAACCATACAGCATTCTAACAGAACACCCACAATGACTTCACATCAAAGGCTCTATAAGCAGTGTATACTGGTGTTTCTTTATAGCCTGTATCATACATGCAGACTCGGAAACACAACAGCTGGTCTTGGAATAGAGCAGCTGTCTTGTGTCTAACAGTAACTAAACAGCTACATCATCTTACTGGAAAATGCAGAACCAGCAAAGTCAGATCGATAAATGGAATAACAGAGGTCATGTGATTCCTGGCCAAAGACACTCGAGCTACGAATGTCTAGAAGTTTTTGATTTTATGGATTATATGATCAATTCAGCATTAAAGTGATATTAAAGCCTATTTTGTTTTACATTTCTCCTTTAAGGAAACCCTCCTTTGCTGGAGGCCTTTTTCATTCCTTGTTTTCTAGTGGGTCCGCACAGCGATCTTACCCCCACTCGCTGCACGGGTGCTACCATCGTTCTAATGGAGGCACCCGTGCCCGCTCGTTTCCACAGTGGCTGTGTGCGTCCATAGACACACACAGCCCTGTAGCAGGCCACACTTTTTCCCTCTCTGGTCGATGGCAGAAGGAGCCTATGGCTCCCCTACTATCAGTATCCTCCCCACGCAACCCGGAAGTTCGGGGAAGGGAGAATCGATCAGGACAGGCGGCGGGGACGAGCGCAGCTGACAGGTAAGACCCCGTTCACATTGAGCGATTTATAGCGCGGTAATTCCCGCGATATCGCGGCAATTTACCGCGCGATATCGCTCTCCAATGCTTCTCAATGGGGCAAAGGGTCCTGCTGTCGCGGGTCGTGTGTCGCTACAGCAGGACCCTTTTTGGAGCGGATTTAGCCGCGATTCAAGCTTGCTCAATGCAAGCATTTGCGCGACAAATCGCGCAAAATGCAAATCGCGCGACAAACGAACCGCTCAATGTGAACGGGCTCTAAGTGTGGAGGGGACGGGGGTAGAAAAAAGGTACTGGGCCATTTTACCCTAATGCAGAGAATGCATTAAGGTAAAACACGCCCAGACCTTAATACTACTTTAAGGCCCATTGTGTTTTAGGGGGTATTTAACACTGGACCTGACATGCATTTACTTATAATACCCCTACGCGTTCTTGAATGGGCTGTCTTTAGAAAATCCTTTCTGCTGCAGTTTTTAGAAACAGCATTTAATACGCATGCATACAGATGCACGAGTCAGGCATTCTTTCACCCTAGAAAACAGACATCACTTGTTCCAGTCCAGCAGTTAAGTATAATTAGAAAATGTTTTTATTGTTTTGGAACTTTATATTAAAAAAAAAAGCCAGAAAATCTCCAACAAAAATGTGCTGCATCTTGAAAGTGCTTAGTAACGGGAACAAAGCTCCAGAGGGCATTCCAGGTCAGAAAAGAGCAGGTGGCAGGCCACTGCCAAACAGTAATCTCCAGGAACTTGGCATCGTCCAGTGAGAGGTGACACCGTCATTCTGCAAACAAGCAATTCATTTCTGTTAGATGGCAATGGAATCTTTAACACAATTACAAATGTCTGTTTATTCTGCTACTTTAATGGGACCTGTCTGTAATCCAAGTCAGCATTAAAATCTCTTCCTCATTTTTACGCACCTGTCTATTCATAAATAATTTAAATTTTAAAAAAACCTATACCTCACTTGCTATATTAAACAGATGGAAAGGTTACCCACATCAGCTCTTTCAATACCCCTAAATATGATCAATGTTCTCAAGCAACCGTCTGTCAAAAATTGTCAACATATCTTTGCAGCACTTAATACAAAACCCTTTTAAACTCTTATTTAATTTTTAATTGAAAGAAAATAATAAACTATGATGGTCACCTGTTCTGCCAAACCTGGTCCATTAAACTTATAAAATGGCAACGGAATTGCAGATGCACCAAAATTAGATTTTTAGACCAAAATTAAAAAATGTGTCAGGCCGAAGCCAAAAATTACTTTTTTTTCTTAACCTCTTTAAAATTAAATAAACGTTTTCACTTTACTGTTGGGGTCTTAGGGGAAAGTGTTCCCTTCTAAAATAGACAAAAGATTGAGTCCTCAATCTTTTTTTCTGCAGCCGCTGCTATAAATGAACAGGAAGACTCTATACTGAGTGTTCCTGTCCATTCAGAAACGGTGGATATAGTATCAGTTACAATGTCCACAATCATGACTGAACAGGAAGTGATGTAGAGCACTTCCTGGTCATTCATAACTGAGGACACAGTAAGCATACTATGTCCTCCGTTATTTACAAACACTCAGAGATCAGCATGATCCTGACTGCTCTGTATGTCACAGGAGGCCGAGCTCTCCTCCTGCAACCACCACGCTCGGCCTCCTAACACTGGCGCCCAGTGGGGAGGAGAGTAGCTAGGCATGGTCCGCATTTTTGGCTAATTTGGTCCCATAGTACCATTTTCGGCCGAAATTTCCGTGTATCCCTAAACAAAATAGCTGAAACTCTAACCTTTCCTCTTCTCTAAGTCCTATTGATATGATGATCATGTGACCAAAAGGCAGTGCATAAGTCACAGCATCTCTGGTGAAGGGTAGAGGACCGAAGTTCTTCTTGATCTCCGATCCTCCCCTTATACCAGCAGTTGGCCATGTGGCAGGCATCAAAAGGAGACTAAAAAAGTAGTTTTTGCAGAAAAGAGATTTCAGCTCATTGATTACTGTTTAATAGGCTGGGATCCATAATCTGAATAAAAATGATACAAATCAGAATGGCCGATTGTTCTCCATCTATAAAGATTACTTACTGGAAGCTCTATCAGGTGTAGCCACTTGTTCAGGTGATTGAGAAGACCGAAGGCGTCGGGAATGTTGTCACCCTCTGAGCAGAATTTTAAAACAACAGCCATTTTTATGTCTTCTGAGGAGCTGCAATACATGAAATGGATTCATAGAACATTTCAATAATAGTTACAACTGAAGTTCTGTTATAAGATGCTCAGATGGGGGATTTCTTTTAGTATAAAACCTAAGCTCTGCAAAAGGTAGAAAAACACTGATAGCACTGTCCACAACTCTAGTATCCACATACATTATAGAACGGGGAGAGCAACCTGGTGAAAGTACTAGTCTGGCAGCTACAGGGATGACCTCTGGAGGCTCAGGAATGATGGTATTTGTAGTTCCATCACAGCTGAGGTTGCCTACCCCTTTTATAGAGTAATAATAATAGACGCAATAATTTTTTCAGGCTACTTCTGCTCCTCTGATAAGCAGGTCTGAGGAATAAAAGCCTCCATGATGCTATGATGCTTTATGTAACATATACCATTAATGTGATATAGTGGAGAGACTGGACAGATAGACAATTAAGAATACCGACAAGCTGCCCTTTCATTGGATGGAAAATACGAAAAACTTTTACATTCTTATATTTCAATATTTGAACAGTTTTTCTTTAAAACCTTAAGTCCAGGTATCATTAAAGATGAACTAGGGCTATATAGTAGTCTAGGTAAAAGGTCCCCTTTCAAGGAGAATATTCATTCTGTACGTGCCTGAAGTTGCTGACATTTTGCCCGAGCTCCCTGGAAACTCCAATGTAAAGCTGGCCATACATGTAAAACCTTCTCTTAGCCATGTCAGAAATCACAGGATTCTACCATCTACACTAAACAGCGTGGATGGATGAATCTCCCATGCCAGCTATTGTATTCTGACACCCGTCAGAATACCTGCACAGTGAATGCAGTTGATTGATTGGCTACAGGCTTTGTTTGGCCAACTTTATTTCACCCATCTCCTTTGATTTATCAATTGAAATATGTTGAACCACGTGCTGAACCTTCTGAGATGTGAACTGCGTGTGGCCAGCTTTCGTTTCAAATTTCCTAAAAAGCTGAAACCAACCCGGGGCTATGCACAATCTCATACAATGCTCGTGTGACAGCACTAGGTATTGTCAGTGGGCCAGATAGAAGTGCTTTAATGTGGGAGGAAGGAGATCATTTTGGCTGGGAGGGAGTACAATAAGCTTACTTTGCCTACTGAGAAGCTTAGAGGTTACCTTACCTAGTATTATCAAAGTATAGGATTGGCGTTGAAGCGGGACTGAAGCACACAGGGTTATTCATAAAAGGGTGAAGAGTTTGGAGAAGGCAGAAGAAGTGAACAATCTAGGCCAACATAGCTGAACTGGAAAGTGAGATGAATTGGAGAATGTTTCCAAATCAGCTATGTTGTCCTAGATTGTTCACTTCTCCTGCCTTCTCCAAACCCTTCACCCTTTTGTGAATAACCCTGACAGTTTTGTTTCAGTAAAAGAGACTTTGTATATCTTGCCAAGAAAACTCCTTTACCCGTTTGCTAGCATTTGTTTCCTTTTGTACACTGCCTTCATCACATGCACAGTGCAAACGATTGGCATTTTTAAAATGATAAAGAGTTGATCCAAGTGTTGGGATAACACAACTCCATCCCGCATGCACAGGAGTTACATCATTACTGGCCGATTAATGACCATAGAAAAAAGCTGATGGGTAAAAGAACCAGAGGAGATGGCTGCAGCAGTAACTGAGAGTGTGCAATGGTCAGCACTAAAGGAAGGCTTTAGGAATTAGAAATAGGCAAGCCCTATTTTTTGTGCGCGGGGTGTGTGAAAGCGATGCCATTGAATACAATGCACCGCCATGCCCCCTCCCGCCCCAAAACGCAAGGGGAAGTTTCTCAGCGATCGCGGTGCGTTCCAGCAGCTACCGCTCTGTTCACACGCTTTCAGTGTGAACAAGGCCACAGAGTGTTACTGTATCAAAAACCATGTTTGTCTGTATATATTGTAATTGTACCTGGGAGCAGTGAGTACATGAGCAGGGTTTGCTTTGTGCTGAATTTTTCTATCTTAGTGCAAGTCTACAACTACCCAAATATAGAAGAAAAACCTTTTTCAGACCGAAAACTATACTTTCACAAAATACACAACACAATGTCAGATAATATCAGGGTGATACAGCAGGATAACAGAAAATGTCATGTATATTGTGCAAGATGAATGTAAGATAGAAAAATACATATATAAAGAAACTGATCATAAGATGCAAATGGACCAAAAAACAGTTCCACAGATGAATTTTTCTGGTGGTATTAGTCTGTTGTTTATAAGCCTTTTACTAAAAATACTTGTTTTTTTTTTTAAATGGTGGACGCGGAATTGCATTTTCTTTTTACCCGCTTAAAGCAAACTCATATAAATGAAGACTTTGTACACATAAATCACCCCTGTATAGCAGGCATTACAAGGTGCCAGGTGATAACTGTAGCATTACTGTCACCACCTTCTGCAATACTCCACTGAGGGGAGAAGTTAAACCTCCTTCCCAATCTAAATATAGAGTGCCTGGTTCATGAGTGACCCAACACCAGGCTACATGGTGGAGCATTACCTCCATATATACATATCAGGTTTCAGCAAGCCGATATTTACATAAGACCTCTCCAGGGCTGCAGTGATGCCTTGAAGACAACAGCAGTAACATTTGATGTATTATCTGGCACCTTATTGTGCCTACTATGCTGGTGTACTTTTTGTTTACATAAGTTCTGTTCAGTAAATGTGTACTTTAAACTGAACCGGTGCTTTACAAATGCAGGGTTATGCATGAATCGCACTTATGTGGTATCCTTGAGATTTATATCCTGGGTAAATATACTGTTTGGGGTTTCAAGAAGTATGTCTAAGTAACAGAAGACAAAAAAGAAAAAGAAAAGGGTCGACTTACCAGTCTTCAAACATCTGCTTTGAAAAGCCTCCTCCAGGGATAGACATCTTTTTCTCTTCATCATTAATGCCTGGATATAAAGAAATGTTCTCCATTTCCTTCCACTCAAGTTCTTTCATCACATCTGTCACCGATGGTAGCAAAGCTGGAGTGACTAAATACCGGTATGGAGTCCTTGAAATGACAGATGGCTTCTTGTTAAAGAGGACCTTCCACTTTGAAGACATATTCATCATTCAGTGCAAGTTAAACATTCTGGTATGTTTCATCTACCCAAACCTACTACTTTCCCATATGACAGTCTAGCTCCATAATGTTCATTTAGGACATGCCTCCTACAGACCCCCATTCTACATGTCTTCCTTCTCTTACAAACCTAAACCCAAGACTCATACCGTCCCATCCTAAACTTACTGATGGCAGACTGGAAAGAAGGAGTGAAGGATTTGGCTTTGCTTGAGAGGATGAAGGAAGTTATAAGGAAAACTCATCTATCAGGAGTTCCCTCTTTAAATGTTTGTTAGCTGATATATTTCTCTGAAGACTCCATGATAAAACTGTGTCCTTTAAACAAAGGGAGAACATTTAAATTGTGTGTCCAATCATATTAGCTTGCACTGGATACATAATCTGTACATTGTGATATCTCATTAGTTGCCGATTGCCCAAGCAAGAGTGATAACTTAGACGAGATCATATCTGCAGTAATTATAGGTAAAGTTATCTCTCTTGCTTGGTCAAGGTAAATGTCTTTGCTGATTCATAATGTGTGGCCTGGGAATGCGTGCATTGCAGCATCCATGAGAAGCTTCTCAGTTATATATCTTGTCTGTGCTAGTGTGGTGCAATGTCATGAGCTGCTTTCTTTTTATGATATGCCAGCACTAACAAATAATTGTAAAGTGGAAGGTGGTCATGGCACACACTGGCTACTTAGCCATTTCTGGTGTTCTGGGGAATGATCTGTTAGCAGCATGTTGGGTAAGTGTACATTTCCACTCCCTGAGAGGCACAGGGCAGTAAATGATTGTTGAGATCATATCTGCAGTAATTATAGGCAATCATTTACTGCCCTGTGCCTCTCAGAGAGCGGGAATGTACACTTACCTAATATGCTGCTAACAGATCATTCCCCAGAACACCAGAAATAGTTAAGTAGCCAGTGTGTGCCATGACCACCTTCCACTTTATTTTACAGCGCTGGCATAACATACAAATGAAAACAGCTCATGACATTGCATCACACTAGCACAGGCAGGACATATCTAATACAGAGAATCCTCTAATGTACGCTTCAATGCACGGATTCCTAGGCACACATTCTGAATCAGAAAAGATTAGCTGAGAAGACTCTCCTGGGTACTACATTGCACAGATTCCCAGGCACACATTCTGAATCAGAAAAGATAACCTATGCAGCTTTCATTGCAAGTGATGTCACTGTCCCCAAACTGTAATGTAGATTAAATTACCTAGCCAAGGTGCCTGTTTGTATTTGAGGCTTCTTAAACAGGCTGTTGATTTTACATTCATTCACATTTTGAAGTCAATTATCTATAGCAATTAAATGTAATCACTGAAAAGACTTCTCAGTTGCAGAAGATCACTATTGCTGCAGCCGCTTTACATACCCAAAAAGTTGCTGGTCATCTCGCCGATACGCATGGCTGCTTGAAAGCAGCACCACTTTGGAAAATCCACACTTCTTAATCCAGGATATTAAGGCTTGGCGGAAACACTGGGATTTTTTCTTTAAAGGGAAATAAGACACTTGTCAAATGTAGACTGGTATACCACAATACAAAGTTATTGGTTTACTTTAAACGAAAAAAAAATGTGCTTTTATAATGAGGTGGAAAACTACAAAAGACGCAGCATCATTTTCTGCTTTTTCTTGCTAGACCCCATGTCATTTGGGATTCTGGTTTCACTGATAAGCTGGCTGTACACTTAAAATTTTGGCTGATTCGCACAATTCAAAAAAGTTTAATTGAAAAATCAAAGGAGCCAGGTGAAAAACTGTTGGTGTAATAGCTACTGCAAACAATCTTTTGCAGTCACTGTTCAGGTATCCTTACAGCCGCAGGCACAGAACACAATAGCCAGCAGGGGAGATTCCTCCATCCAAGCTGTTGGATGGGATGGATGGGAAGGGAGAATTGAGAGGGTTTTCTCCCATTCTGCCCACAGGCTGAACAAGAAAAAACTATCCATATATGACCAGCTGTAGGCGTCTGCCTTTTTTGTTGTTGATTCCCACTTCACGTGTCTTAAAAAGTGACAGAATACATTCTATTCAGTTTGAAAACAATGAAGAACATGTACCTTTATTAATGGTGATCGGATCTGGAGAACTGTAAGATTCTTGGAGGGCAGAGAATACACTACAAAGAGAAGATTGAAGAACAAACAGTACATGAAAATACATAATCAAGGATGAACCAGATTCATTCCACTGCTCATCTCTATATGAGGCATCAGTGATGCTATAAACAGTGTTATAAGAACGTCAACACACAGGCTGCATGGATACCCATTAGGGATGCACCGATATATCAGCCGCCGAAACATATCGGCCGAAAATGGCAGTTTTGGCATAATGCCGAAAGTGCAATTTTCCTGCCGATACATCGGCGTATCCCTACTTTCTTTCCTTCTCGCTGGGCGCTGCTCTATGTCCCAGCGGGGAGGAGAGAAACTGCGATAGCTGGCCGAGCGTTGCGGGAGGAGAGCGCTGTGAGCCTCCGGCGTCTCTCCTCCCACACCGCTCATCCTCCTATCACAGTCTGGCAGAGCGGTGGGGAGGGGGAGACAGCCTGCGCTGTCACAGGAGGCTGAGCGAGCGGTGTAGGGAGGAGAGCTCAGCCTCCTGTGACAGCGCAGGCTGTCTCCCCCTCGTGACAGCGTGTCAGAGAGGAGAGCAAGGTACAAACACTCAGCGATTAGTGTTTGTAGATAATTGAGGACATAGTATGGTTACTATATCCTCAATTATGAATGAATGGGAGTGATCTGCATCACCTGCTGTTCATTCATAATTGTGGTTATAGTAACCATACCATGTCCTCATGTTATCAATGAACAGGAACACTTAGTATAGAGGATTCCTGTTCATTTATAACAGGGGCTGCAGAAAGAGATTCAAGACTCTGTGTCCTCAATCTCTTTTTCTATTTTAAAAAGGGAAATATCAGGGGTCTGTTTAGACTCCTAATATTTCCCCGAAGCCCCTAAAAGTAAAGTAAAAGATAAAAATATTTAATGAAAAATGAATAAATGAAAAAAAAAATCAAAGTTTATAAAAAAATAAAATTGAAAAAATTAAAATAAAAAACATTTTCGGTATCGGTTTGACAATTTTTTGTTTCGCCCATCCTTATCCCAACATGCACCATACAATAAAGGGGTTTATTATTCACAAAGGCTAGAATCAGATATTCTAGTCCCATTCAGTACTTGCCTTCTGCGTTCGTACTCAGTTCCTTTGCATTATCTTCACTGGTGGCATAAGGATTGTTTCCTACCATAGGCACCAGACAGTCTGTGTAGAAGTAGCCAACTTTTGTCATATTCAAGGTTGAAATAATCAAATCAATGGCTAGCTGGCCAACATTCCCCACTGATACTGCTGGCTAAAATGTATATTAAGAAAAGTATTCTCATTATTATGCATTACAAACAAGGGCAAACACAATTACAAAGTGTACTAAATCAGCTACAGAACAAGTACAATATCTGCATTTAGGCAAATAAATAATTCACTCATGTTTTCACTTCAATTCATGTTTAAAGTGTAGTTTTGGATAGAATGTGGAAGAGTTAGAAGCCCTGTCAGATTTTTATTTCTGTCCCCCAAAAGGGGAGCCTCACTGAAACAAGAGATGAGGGGAAATCTTCCTATGGGAAATAACTGGTGACAACTTTCTAAAGGTGCCCATACACCGTGAAATCCCGCGTCTTGCGAGGGTTGTAAAGTGTATGGGCACAGACAGCAAAAAAAAAACAACTGACAGAGGTCTTAACCATTCCCTACTCTCTTAAAATCTACAAAGATGGCTTTATATAAAACACAAAGGACATTGACTGTCTACAACTTTCTGATTAGATATAAAAAATAAAAAAAAAAGCCCCTGAATGGCTGCTTTTCTGTAACGTAAGCATTATTTCAAGTCCACAAAATGTTTATTTTTGTTCTGGACAGAGCCACAGACAGAAATGAAGTCTCCTGACAGTGTTATATTATGTAACAATCCCATTAAATGTCACTAATAAAAGGGAGGTCATTAATATACTAGATACCATCACTACATATATTTACTATATACAGTTCTCAGAATACTATATTTCTCACATCTATTGTAAGCGGTTTTTGACAGTTAGAAGTGCCTGTAAATACATGATAATGTGCATTTTACTTTTGGATCAACACAGGAAGTTAGGAAAAATCTCCCCAATGAGACAGAGACAGCAAAAACTCAACATGGCGTTTAACCAATTTCTACTCCAGGGCTAGACAATTCCCTGCTGCCAGGTTGCCATTGCGACTAAAAAATAAATAAATCTGTCGATCGGGCCACTAACAGCTATTGCCAGTGGCGAGATGTGGGACTATAACATACAACGATCATACAACAATGTGAGACGTTACTTTTTGAATGGCAGCCTCATGCCAGACACAAGCTCAGCTTGGACATAGAGTGGGTGCACACGGATTTTGAACAGGCATGAACCGGGTGATTTGGGATCACTCACGTGTGTATCCAGGTGCTAAGATCAGATGACATGAATGAGGCACATAGCCTGACTAGTCCAGCAGAGGGCAGGAGCTTTGCCAATTATGATTTAGAGTTAGACATTTCATAAAGAGGTTTACTGATCACCTCCTAAAGAGTATACATTGTTTCTTATCATTTTGCTGTTTGTGTGACTTATTAATAATTCAACCAGCTGTCACTTTACACTAATTGGTCACATGGATCAAAAGAGTCATGCAACCGACTGATCAGCACCTCACAATAACCCCTTCCCCATCCCCCTTTTCCTAGTCACGCTTGATACATACATTGCTTTCTATAGTTACACACAGAAATAAAATAACAGATCACATTATGTTCCCATTGACTACATACAGAACAGTATATGACATATGTAGGTCTAATAGGAGAAGGGGACGGAAATGCGACTGCAGTGCTGAGATCTATGAGACCTACAATGCTTACAGCCAGAGCTGAACTTGCACATGCATGTAAACAAGATTTGTGGGGTGAAGAAGGAAGTGTACACTATGTCACGTGTCTTTAAAGCAAACCAAGTGTTAAACTTAGATAAGGTGGAACTCCACCCACCAATTTAGATGACAAATGAACTGTCTCCCAAAACCATTACTTTTAAGGCATGCTTCTGTTAATAACTGTCAAGGTTGCCAGGGTGCTTATTTCAGCTCTAAACAGAACTTTCAAGTCCTCAAATGGCTGATGTCCTAGCTGATCACATGTGCAGCACCTGCAATCCAAATAGAGGCTAAGATGACACCTTCCTTGGCTGTAAAGGATAGGTGGGTGTAACGGAGTAGAGCTTCTTGTGCTCTTAGTTCCAGGTGAGATTTATCCAGGCCTGCCTTACTCTACCAAAACTAAATAAAGAATCAGATACACTTTACGGGTGTGTTTCTTTGTGTAATGGGAAGGACAGAAGTATAAACAGTTGTGTGACCTTTACTTTTTTTATGATCAAACCTGTCATTCTTTGCCATGTTATGCTTCCCAAAGGCACCTGCTGTGAACTGCAGGAGATTCTACCCCATAACAACTCTCTACCTCCTTGGTTGTCTTCTGGAACTGCAAAGCAACCTATAAGAATAGAACTATGGAAGCTGCCACTGCTGAATTGTTTGTCAAAGTGCATGCTCCGAGGCTGTCATCCTTGTCCTTCTGATCTGGACTGTTCCCAGCACCTTTTTCCAGCACACCACATGGGGGGGGGGGGGTATACTGAGGACTTGAGAGGCGCTAGAATGACGACAAAATGCATTATCAAAATGAAATGAGCAAAGGCCGCCCCCATACTCCTGACAAGGTCCTTTACAGCAAACCTACACAGACAGACGTCCGGGAGCCGGTCATGCTTCATTACATAGAGTCTATAACCTGACTGTTCTCTGGGCCTCTGCTATGAATCGCCCTTTCTAAGTGACAGTGAAATGGCGCTGCCCTGTGCAGTCACCATGTGTTACCACCCTACCATCAGCAAAGTGCTGTCTGCAGGGAGACTCCAATCCGAAGTAGCCGGTACGAACATGACTGAGCTGTGTGTACAAGCGGCGGCGCACACAATATACGTCACCGCGGGGCCTTTGGTGGGTCCTCAAACTGTAGTAGTCCCGGCTGTTGCCTGACTGGAAATGTACTCAGGCAGCGACAGACACCTTCCCGGGAGTTTTGCCGCTTTCTGCAGCTGAACAGAGTCCTCAGGACTCCTCGCAGAATACATGAAGAGCCTGCAGATACCAGAGAGGTGTACACAGCTCCAGTATGGGGAGACAGGCACATATCTGATAAACGACTAACGCCTGCAACATGTCTGTACGTCCCGAACTCAGACAAGTCATCCATGAGCAGCTCCACAGGGTGAGTACCAGAGGCAGGAACCTGACATTCCAATAGGACATTGTCTGTAAAGGGGATTGTGGCCTGGCTATGGGTATTGAAGAATTTACATATTCTTAAAGCAGACCTTCACCTGCTTTCCCAAATATGCATCCCCCCCCCGCCCCCTCATTCTACACAACTGCAAAATATGCTTTCAGCCTTTTTTTTAAAACATAAAGTTGTCCCCCACTTCCAGATTCCTTGTTTAGGCACTAATGATGTAATCCCCAAGCTGCTTGCAGCCTCCTGGGTTTCCCATATCAAGAGTCCGGGTCATTTTTAAAGAAAATGTGAATGCTGTGCGTCATCTGGGGCGGCTGACTCTTCCTGGTCCTTGCAGCTGTCCCCCAATGATGGGCTGCAACGCATACGTGTCATCAGGGAAGAGACAGTGGGCTCCTAATTACATTAGAAGGGATGATGGCAGCGTGGCTTCAGGTGAGCAGTGGCAGCTTACTGCTCTGGGCATGCTTGCATAGTTGTTAGTCTCCATTCACACATAGCGTGTGCGTTTTCCGCCCGGAAAACTGCGCAGCATGAAAACGCACAAGTGTTAATAGGTGCGGATTCCACACGTTTGCGGCTATTACTATAGCCAGAACACCTGGAATCCTCCCAGAATATCGCGCTTAGATTTTTTTTGCGCAATGCACGTTTTCGTGTCGCGCAAGTGTGAACAAGATACATTGGAATTTATTTTTTTAGTGCATTTCTGCGCAGAAAACCGCTAATGTGTGAACAGAGTCTCAAGGTTGAAAACACAGGTCCATCTAGTTCTATCTATCTAGATATAGCTAAGAATCCCCATACCCCTGTATATTGTATTCACTAAGGAAGGCGTCCCAACATTTTTCGGATGTGTCTTTACTCTCAGCTGATACCACTACCTGTGGAGATAAGGAAGGGAGTTCCACAATTTTACTGCTCTAACAGTAGAGATTCCCTTTTACAGTTTGAGATTTAATCTCTTTTCCTCCAGTCTAATTGGTCAGGTGACCGCACTGATCAATGACTGCTCGCCATTTGTGAGTGGAATTTAAAATACGGGTGCGGAGGTGAAGGAGTGTTCATTGACAGGTAAGGAGGTGGGGAGTTGAGAGAGGGTGCAGATTGGAAGGGGTAATTCCATTTCCCCAAATTCACCTGGGAAAGTGTTATTTCTCTTTAGAAGTTTGAACCTGGCCCATCCAGAAAGATTTAGATAGTGGGCATATCCACTTGACATGTAGGGAGCTATCTAGATTCTGGTTGCAGTGGATTATATAAAATTGACAATAAGGTAAATTGAGCGTAATGGCGGAGTTTATCACTGGTCCAATGTTTACAGGCTAACACTAGCAGTTTTCTTTCCTGGCATTGCTCTTTCATGTTCCTGGTATGTTGTAAATTGTGGGATTTTACTATCAGAAGTGTATCAATGATTTTGACAGCTTCTCTTTTTCCTATGTTTAGATGGATGTTCATGGTAAAATCAGGGAGGTCCTGGCCGAGACATTAAGAGATGAATTTGACGATGGAAGCCATAATATCGCAGAGGAAGATCTGATGAAAGCCTTGAGAAGGAGAGGAATTGTAGATGACGTCATGAAAGAGCTGCATTTCCTGGGGGTAAGTGTGCCAGGGGGCACGAGCCAGTTGCCATTTTTTCAAACTTTTTAGCCCTCCTGCGAGCAAGCTGAAGCCGCTGCTTTCCGCTGTCATTAGACCATAGAGAGCCGTGGCTTTACACACACACAGAGCCGATCTGCAGAGGGACCAGCTCTGTGTCCTGTGATTGGTTATCACAGTGATCACATGACAATGTTTACATTGCCGAGCCCTCCCCTTCCTCTTACAGTGGGGGCTTTCGGAGAGTACAAGAACTAATGAATGGATGAGCCATCTTTTCATTACATCCCGGTGCAACAAAGTGTAGCAGCAGCACAAAAAAATAGTTTCAAATACTTTTAACGCTTTCAGCCCCCCTCCTCTCCTGTTTATCTGCACTGAGACCTGTATATTAACCCTTTCACCTCCCTTATCCTGCACATCTATACATTAACCCCTTAATCTCCATCCTCCCATTGGATGTGGCCTGTTCATTAACCCCTTCAGTCCCTGTTCCCTCTTTGTATGAGCCTGTCCCGGAGCTCAGACTGCACACAATCTGTTCAGAGCAGTAATTCAGCTGACCGCCCTCGGAGGGCCCCACACCTTCCTCCTCGCCTCTGCCTCTGGTCTCGGCAGCTCGGGTAAGTCCCAGTGTGTAGCTGTGTGTATCTGGGACTGACAAGTTTGATGGACAAGGACTGCTGACAATTGTCGTGCCCTCACACATAGGACACCAAGGCTGTCATATAATGGACAGGGACTGCTAACACTTGTAGTGCCCTCACACACAGGTCAGCAGGACTGTCATATATTGGACAGGGACTGCTGACACTTGTAGGGCCCTCACAAACAGGCCTGTCATATAATGGACAGGGACTGCTGACAGTCGTGCTCTCACACACAGGTCACCAGGACTGTCATATATTGGACAGGGACTGCTGACACTTGTAGTGCCCTCACACACAGGTCACCAGGACTGTCATATATTGGACAGGGACTGCTGACATTTCTAGTGCCCTCACAAACAGGACTGTCGTGTAATGTACAGGGACTGCTGACACACACACAGGACACCAGGACTGTTATATAATAATTTGGTTCTGTTTATCTACTTGTGTTTGTTGGCTGCTTTTAAAGTATTTTTAGGTCTATGTAGGATAGAAATCACCAGCACTCGGCAAATTAAGTTTACAAAATAACGTCCATTTATTTGGACCAAACGTCACACATATCGCATAATTCAACGTTTCGGGACCGCGCAGAGTCCCTTCATTAGGGCAGAGATGTGACAAATGAGTGAAACATACACTACCACATATATACCCCTCAGAGAGTGGTATTGGTCTGTCTTCTAAGTTGCTATCAATAAAGACCTTATTTAAATACAAGTTTGGTTAAAATAATTTTTTTGTATCAGGACAAGTAGATTGGGTCCCCGCTTTAGTCCTTGGACAAGTAATTTTTTAAAAACAATTTCACCACCCCTTTGTTTCCATGTCTAAACATCATCATTGGGATTGTGCAATGATGATTTCATGTCTGTAGATCGCTTTAAACACTTCAGCAGTTTTTAGGTATCTGTCTTGTTATGTCCTTTGCATTTAGTGAACCAAAATGTTGAAGGTTGCCTTTCAGTACATAACCTACAGTAAAGCCTTTTGTACTATGACTGTTTGTTTTCCTTTTCCAATGGTGCTCATTGCAGACTTTTATCTGGAAGTGGGACAGGAGTGCCTGAAATATCTTAGTAAGGTCTGCAACAGACTGTGTAACAAAGCACTTCTGTTTAGATATGTGGCAAAGAGTTAGAACTTCTGTCAGGTTATTATTACCTATGGAGGTGAGTGGTGCTGGATCTATAGGTAGCCTGGATTTTATGCTGGTGTGAAGCACAATGGTTTCTTGAGGTGACAGAAGGCCAGTAGGCTGCTCCTAGATGACAGTAACTATCTACCCTATGGGGGACAGCAATGAATGTTTGAAAGATGTACAGTATTTCCTCTTCAAAGTCTATACAAAGCTTGGTAAATAAAGTCTGTACAAGCACTTGAACATTTTTAACAGCTCAGATGTCTAACACCTGACACACATACACTTTTAAAGAAGAACTCTGGGCACACATTTATTATTAACCTTTGCTATCCTCGCCCTGCAAAGGTTAATAGTTCGTCTTTGCCTAGGGTCAAAAAGTTATACTCAATTGACCCTCGGAGCCGGTGTTCTATCGAAAGCTCCAACTCATTGAGATCTCCAACTACCTCACTTCCGGTGCTCAGAAAGACTAGAGCTCTGTACAGTTGCGGTGCGCATGCGTGCATAGTGTTTTCACAATACTCGTCGAGTTTACCACCTGCTGAATATTGTTAAAATGCATCTGTACAGAGCTCCGTCAGTCTTTGTGTTTTGCAGTCTAAATCTCCAACTCGTAAGTACCCGGCAGTGAGGTAGTTGGAGCTTTCAATAGAACACAAAACACTTTAAAGAAGAAGTCCAGGCACAAATTGTATCAACCCATGCAGTGGGGCTACGGTTATACTCACCCGATCCTCAGAGCCAGCAGCCCTTTTCTGAAGAGCATGGAAGTCCAGCTGTAGTTTCTGCTGTGCTTTACCCTACATTCTCAAAATTCTCTACTTACAGGTTGGATCAGCAATAAGACACTGGGTGTATAATCTTGTCTGTATCTTCTTTCCTATGTAGGGTGACCATTCAAGAGAACTCACTTCAACTCCAAAACCAGCAACACCTTTTGTTGATAAACAGCTACAGACACCGAAGAAAAGTAAGCCAAGTACATTTGTACTAAAGTGCATTTTAATTCTTTTTCTTGTAGCAATGCTTGCAATCAAAACCATTTGGCACATGCCATGTGTACATGGATCTGTCTGTGTGCTTTTGATCAAAATGTCTTGGATTTTCTGGAGAGTAATAGAAATTTAGCTGGCAGAGCTTTTAGGATTCTTTTCCATTCACCTTTCGCCTTTAATTCCTTGGCATATTGTAAAGGGACATACAAGCGATTTTAAAGCTAAACTTCAGGCAAACAACAACATTCAAAACTAAGGTACATATATGAGAACCGTCTTACCTTCCAAAGGATTTGTAGTTTTGGACAGTCATTCATGTCATCCAGACACCCGTGCTAAACACCACTGCCAGATTTCTGACCTTCACTGCAGCAGCGTCATAGCTTGGTGAAAAATGTTGAGTCTAAACACACACAAGCCCTTCTGGTTGGATAGTAAAGGAGAAGGAGTAGGCTCATGAGATTGCAACTCTGATTGTTCCTAAGCAGCACATGTACAAGTAGCAGCATCCTTCTCCCAGCCTGAGTGCTGCTGTGTAATGGATTACATAAGGCTGATGTCAGGATAAATTAGAGAACTTTCCCTTGCTGCATTTAAAGTAAAGAAATAACTTTATTTTATATCTGCCCGGAGTTCAGTTTTAAGGTGAAATAGAAAGTGGCTTTGCCCTATTTCACTGAGACATAGATAAAACATGCCATTGTTCTGGGCTCCCAATACTTTATGCATATTGCATATAATAGTTAGAGCCTAAAAACAACTTCAGGGGTCTGCTTGGATTCCTAAAGCAGATCTTAGCAGATGATTTTCCAGGATCGCTCAGGTTTAGCATCTATTTCCTGGATGAAAATGCTAACCTGTAGATGACAGATTCGTGTCAATCCTGGTGCCTGTTTAGTAGCCTTTTACGTTTTTAATTCTATGTATACAGGTTGTCTCGGAGGTCTCTCACTGTGTGATCATTATGCTAGGGAAGTCTGATTCAAGGGGCAAATCCCTTAACACAATAATGACTATTGCAGTGATGCATTAAAGCAGAACTTTTAAATTCCAAGTTAAAATAATGCAGGTATACTTCTCAATAGGTCTCCTAACTGCTTTGCAGGCATAACAGCAGAAAGTAGCATTTTTCTATGACCCCATTACCTTATCTCTCCTGACTGCGCAGCTTAGAGGTCATAGGCTTTCTACATCTCCCTCTTCGTATGTCATTTTACTCTTATATTTGCATAGGAGTCGGGGCTCCTCACAGGTCCACCCCGGTTTTCTGCTCTTTTAAAAGCCACATGTTACACTAAATGTAGCTGTCAATCAAGTGAGAAGAGAGGAGAGATTAGGTAAGGATGCAACTTCCGTACTAGCTACCAGGTTCTTGGCAAAGAATGAAAGGAGTTCTTTCTTCATTTCCCGCTAATTTTGAGGAGAGATAGTGGGAACAGCCTCTGCAAGTTGGCATGTTAATAAAGCAAAAGGTTAAAGATTTGCAAGTGGCCATGCATGCTCCTTTTTTTAACTTGTTTTAACAGTTTCAGAGTGTTTTTGGATTAAGAAAAAGATCATTTACTGCTGCTTTAGTTCTGCTTTAAATGTGATGTCTGAAGTTGTTGTATTTTTTTTGGGGGGGGAGAGGCTTCACAGATATGTTTACTGTAAATATTTCCATACATGAAAACAAAATTGGTAATTCCACATTATACTGGGCATGGAAGGACTGGAAGGTGCTTGTCAGTGTGGGTTACCAGTGTTTCAGTGGGCTGCTTTTCTTTTGGGGTGCATCTCTCAAATTGACTAAACAACCCATGCAGAATAGCATATCAGAGGACATGTATATTTGCTGGTCCTCCAACCTGCTAGTATGATATTGTAAACAACTTTTTATTTTAAAGAAGACATTACTGCTCTTATAACATGATAGGAACCGATTGTGTAAAACTTGTTCACCTGAGGAAAGGCTTTTTTAATTGAGTTTTACATTCTCAAATTCCAGTCTATATAACTCATTAACCTTTCATTCTTTAAATAATCAAATGTTATTATCTTAAGTCATTTTCAATATGCAATATAACATATCTCGTGTGTGTAGGAGAGGAATACGACAATTATTTGTAATGATAATTTGTATTTTGATGTCTTCCACAGCTAATATTGACTCATCCCGTAGATATCTTCATCTCCAGGTCTTGGGTGGAAAAGCTTTTCTTGAGCATCTTCAGGAAGCAGAGCCTCTTCCTGGTCAGGTGTGCTCTACCTTCACCCTTCACTTGCACTTTAGAAACCAGCGTTTCCGCTCCAAACCAGTGCCGTGTGCTTGCGAGCCTGACTTCCAGGATGAATTTCTGCTGGAACTGCACAAAGACAGTTTAGGTTTGTTGCATAAATATTCTCACTTTCCTTGGATATTACACAGGGGTCTATTCACAAAAGGGTGAAGAGTTTGGAGAAGGCAGTAGAAGTGAACAATGTAGGCCACATTAGCAGAACTGGAAAGTGAGCTGAATTGGAGAACTTTTCCAAATCAGCTATTTTGGCCTAGATTGTTCACTTCTCCTGCCTTCTCCAAACTCTTCACCCTTTTGTGAATAGACCCCATTGTATGTTGGAGATGAGAAAATATTTGGCCACACCTTTTCTCACACCATTACTCCAGCTCGGTGCTATGGTGCAGTAGGAGATATGTAGGTACAAATTGTTTTCAGTATAAAGCTCAGTGTCTAGCGCATGGATGGATGAGGTAGATTTTTTTTCTGTGCCTTTGTTTCTCCATGAATGTGGCGAAAATTTAAATATGCAAGGAAAATAAAAAAACAGCATTTGTGCTTGCAAATGCTCAGAAGATCAACGTCAGCAGAGCTTCACCTAATTCACTAAGCGAAGGGAAAATTTAATTATCTTGCAAAGTTACCACAACCTATTTTCAGGAGTCATGTCGTGAGGAAATAAGTAGGCTACCACAGCTGAACTCTTCTGCAAATGCTACTGTCCTGACTGTTATCCTGCTAGATTGGCTTCAATACTTGGAGTCATTGGTTTCCTCTGGTGCACACTTGTCCTGTGTATGGGCCTGACATACCCCTAGACACAGCCTGGCAACTACGAAGGATTTTTTTAAAATTCTATCTACCTTAAGAATATTTATCTAAAATAAAGGAATACAACAAATTTCAGCAATAGTCCATTATACTATAATGTTCTATTGCTGGGATTTGTAGTCCTCTGTAGCTGGTGTTATTCTGCTTTGCGCCTTATAATCATTATACAGCACACTGCATAATACCACCTACTATAGATGACAACTCCCAGCAATAGTACATTATACAGCGCAATGCAGAATACCACCAGCTACAGAGGACTACAAATCACAGCAATAATACATTCTACAGCGCAATGCAGAATAACACCAGCTACAGAGGTGTTATACTATAATGTACTATTGCTGGGATTTGTAGTCCTCTGTAGCTGGTGGTATTCTGCATTGCGCTGTATAATGTACTATTGCTGGGAGTTGTCATCTATAGTAGGTGGTATTATGCAGTGTGCTGTATAATGATTATAAGGCGCAAAGCAGAATAACACCAGCTACAGAGGTGTTATACTATAATGTACTATTGCTGGGATTTGTAGTCCTCTGTAGCTGCTGGTATTCTGTATTGCGCTGTATATAATGTATTATTGCTGGGATCTGATGTATTCTTCTATAGATAGTGTTATTCTCCATTGCGCCGTATAATGTATTATTGCTGGGATTTGTAGTCCTCTATAGCTGATGGTACATATACAGCACAATGTACCATCAGCTATAGAGGACTACAAATCCCACTACCCCAGCAATACATTAATGCAGCACCATGTGGGGGTGCAGGCTTACCTGAGCAGATTGTGAGAGAGAGAGAGTAGAAAGCACAATCTTTTTGGTAGCTGCACTGTGGATATAACCGCGTTATGTACGCCGTCAGAATAAAAAAAAAAAAACACAACACATTAGGAATGCATAGCTAGATTCCTATCGGCTATTTCACTTTGCAATAGCAAACTAGCTATTGCACCCGCCCACTGCTGCTGCCAATCACTAGAAGGGGACCTGATGGAGAACCTCAGGTCTCCCTCTGCTGCGGCGGCCCCGATGTCAGGGAAAAAAAAAAATATAGAGAAGGGTTTCTCTCCCGGACGGAGCCACTAGGCGACCGCTGGCAAAACGTCATTCGATCCCCGATAGGGTCGCGACCCAGGGATTGAGAACCGCTGCTTTAGAAAATCAAAGCAAACGTGCTTTCTTGTTATTAGAAAAGTCTTTTCATTTGCATTAATTTTTAAATATCCCCCCTTTTATTATTTTTGCCCATTGTCCTCCTAGGTTGGAGATTACCCATCATTGGCTAGCACACACCGCATTGTTTTGGCTTGTGTACGGTTTCCTTGTGCAAATGCTGCTGCTCTGCATTTGCAGATGTGTCTACATCATTAGGTCCAACCATCTTGTTGGTTACATGGGCTGTGTCCAATCTCAGTGCGTATACCCTCAAGAATGCACAGCCTAACACCAATCACATGGCAATATGAAAATAAAGTCTGCTAACGCATACCGGGAGTTGTAGGCAGTAGGAAATGAGCTCACCCACAACCTCACAACACTACCTTACTTCCTTAAACACCAACTGGAAAACAAAATGGCAGCTGTTAGAAAAAAGACACAGCCCAAAAACAATGTGGAAGCAAAAACTAACCAATAGAAAGCTATATATACTACAGTAAAGAAAACCTAAATGGTAGTTAAACTGACTTTTTTTTTTTTTCTTCATATTTACAGAAACAAAAGTGTAATTACCCTTTGAGGTTTTTGCAGATTTTTTTGGGAAGGCATTAAAAGAACAGGGGGATGAGGGTTTTATTTTATTTTTACTTTATAAGATATGACTGACTTAAAATTGATGGTACGGTTGCAAATTTGCATTTCTGTGGCAGATAAGAAATAATGACCTGCTGAAGAACTTGTGATTTGAAAACATATAGCTTGTGTACAGATGTATCATTTAAAAACATTTTAACAGAAAACTATCTGCCATTTAAATCATCCATCTGTTTTCCTTTTTGTTGATGTCTATTATTGACAACAGTGACCTGAACTAAATACCTTAGTTACATCAAAATGGCCAGTTAAAGCTTTTTTTTTTTCTTTGTCTGACCGAATGCCTATTCATTCATTGAATGCTTCTTTTTCAGGGGATGGGAGCAGAATGGCCGATGGAACCACCCTTCTGTCGATCTGTGATCCAGTACAGATGGTATTAATCAAGACAGACATTTCTGGAGAAACCACTCTAGTGGCCTCTCACTTTATGGAATGGCGCTCGGTGTTGGGAGTGGAAAGGGGAGTGACGAATCCCACTGTGGAGCTCCATGGCGTTGGTGAGATTCCCTGTGTGACATTATCAATTCTTTAGTGGCTTCCTTCCACAATGTTTTTATATCTAAAATAATGATGACTACACAACGTATCCGATTTACATATATGTGTGTGTTTGCACCAAACCTAATTGTTATATATTAGATTAGACATATGCAATACATTACAATTTGCAAAACAAAAACCACCTCATTAAGGATAGTGAGGTGGAAAGAGGTTAGACTTCAACCAATATAATTAGTAAATAGCCCAAAGGCTTGCTTTATTATAAAAATATTATATTTTAAATATATAGATTTCTTTGTCTGACCGAATGCCTATTCATTCATTGAATGCTTCTTTTTCAGGGGATGGGAGCAGAATGGCCGATGGAACCACCCTTCTGTCGATCTGTGATCCAGTACAGATGGTATTAATCAAGACAGACATTTCTGGAGAAACCACTCTAGTGGCCTCTCACTTTATGGAATGGCGCTCGGTGTTGGGAGTGGAAAGGGGAGTGACGAATCCCACTGTGGAGCTCCATGGCGTTGGTGAGATTCCCTGTGTGACATTATCAATTCTTTAGTGGCTTCCTTCCACAATGTTTTTATATCTAAAATAATGATGACTACACAACGTATCCGATTTACATATATGTGTGTGTTTGCACCAAACCTAATTGTTATATATTAGATTAGACATATGCAATACATTACAATTTGCAAAACAAAAACCACCTCATTAAGGATAGTGAGGTGGAAAGAGGTTAGACTTCAACCAATATAATTAGTAAATAGCCCAAAGGCTTGCTTTATTATAAAAATATTATATTTTAAATATATAGAAAGAGTACAACAACAAGCAGTTAACCCATGCAGTGCAGGGGTAGCCCCACTACAAAGGTAGTTTGTTTGTTTTTAGATGGAGGTAGGTTTTAAATACCTAGATTGAAAATGTTTTTTTGTTTTCATTTTTGCACACAAGGGGCTGAGTGTAAAGTTTCTGTGGGAATTTTAAATGTGAAACTGGAGCTGTATCCACATCTAAAGCAAACACTATCTTCAGAGATTGTCAACACTCAGGTACGTGTTCTAAATACATCATACTAATAATCTTATCATTTAAAAGATAAACTCCAGGGAAATGACTGACTAAATACACATGCACCTAAACTGTTTTACCTGCCAAAGGATTGTAGGCAGTCTTGTGATTGGCACATTTCTGTGGCACCCCTTTCTTCCAGTTCAACTTTACAGCTTCTCTTGTCACCTCTCCTCCTTCAGCCTGCTCATTGAGCAATGAGCCAGCACCATCTCACTGCTGATTCATTGTCCTGGTAGCAATCAAATGACAGAGGAAGCTCTGTGACTAAAATAAGTGAAATCATCTATCCATTTATGTAGTGTAAAGAGATGTGTGAATCACAAGACTTGCTTACAGAATTACAGTTGGAAAGCATAACAGGTCATATATGTGTGTTTTATCTGCTTTGCAAGCTGCGTTCAACTTTAATTCAGGGATTGAAGAAAGAAATTTAACACATTATTTAGCAAACAATCCTTAACCTATGAAGTCCCAAATTTACAAGTGGATCGCAATATGATTTGCTTACCTCTTCGAAGTCATAGCAATCAGGGAAAGTCCCTTTTTGGTTTCTGTTGGTGTAAACGAAAAATGACTAGGAGAATCTACTTGTTCAAGAAATGTATATGTTCGATTTTCCATACTTAAAGTTTCTGTAGTTAAAAATATATATCAATTGTAATTTTTCAGCTTACATTAGAGCGACAGAAGACAGCAGAGAAAGAGCGGTTGTTCCTGGTATATGCCAAACAGTGGTGGAGAGAATATTTACAGATCCGACCTTCTCACAGTTCCAGGCTAGTTAAGATCTTTGCACAGGTAATGGCAGCAGAGATTGCAAGTCTGCTCCACTAACTCCTATATACATAATCCTGATTATACTCTCACCATTGCAAGATCTTTCATGTAATTTATTCAGTTTATTTCACTGGGTGAAGCAAAAAAGGAAGTAGTTGCCTATTGTGCAATAATTGTTTGGAGAAACAGTTGTACGTTATTTTTTTTGCCAGTGACAACATTCCAGATTGTTAAAGTCCCTGGGGGGAATTTATCAAAACTGGAGCCAACAGAATCTGGAGCAGATGCCCATGGCAACCAATCAGCATCTCTCTACAGTTTGCTCAGGTTAGATTTGGAAATGAGAGAGAGATGCTGATTGGCTGCAGTGCAAATCTGCTCCAGATTTTGTCCCCTCCGGCTTTGATAAATTCCCCTCCCTATGTTACTGTAGCCTATGAGCTGTATTTTGCTTTTCAATTAAGTGTCTACAAGTGGACACACAAGTCTCTTTCTGTATGAGTTTCAGCCAGTGCAGGAACCTAGTTAGACCCTAAGCCGTTCTGCAGATCATTAAAGGTTAAACTTCTTCTTAGGTTTACAGTTAAAATATTTTAAAAATAGCCAGGTAATAATTCATGACATACACTGCTAAATACCGCGTTTCCCCGAAAGTAAGACCTACCCCAAAAATAAGACCTAGTTCGGTGGTAGGTCTTATATTGCAGAAATCCCTGTAGATAGCGCTAGGTCTTATTTTCGGGGTAGCTGCACATATAACTGAATTTTAAATGTCAAGACTGGCCTTATTTTCGGGGGAGACACAGTACTTCCAAAAAGGAATCAATTGTAGACTTATCCTAATTAGATTTGAATGGTTTTACATAGTTACATAATTGCATAGTATTTGGGGTTGAATAAAGACATAAATCAATCAAGTCCAACCCATATAGGTCCACGCATCATCTCTTTCTTAGGAGTACTTGTACCCCTGGATATTACGGTCCCTCAGGAAATCATCCAAGAGTTTCTTGAACAATTCCATACTCCTGGCTGAAATCACTGCCTGTGGCATTGAGTTCCAGACCCTAAACGCTCTTACCATGAAGAACCCCCTTCGCCCCTTGTGCTGGAATTTGTTTTTCACCAATTTTAGGTGGTGGCCTCTGGTTTTTGTAACGGAGTTAATCTTAAAGGAGAACTATGGGGTCAGTGTTTTTCCCCATAGTTCTCCTTAGGGTAACGGGAGGACACAAACTAGCGTCCTCCCGTTACCCTAAGCTCAGTATACCGCGAGCTACAGCTCGCGGTATACTGAGACGCCGCAGCCGGAGCGGATCCCAACTTAGACGACGGGATCCGCCCAGCTGCGTGAGTGACAGCTGGCTCTGCCTATCTAGAGGAAGAGCCAGCTGTACCCGTCCCCCGTCCGTTCTGCCAGTCAGCGCTGGCAGATAGGAGCGGGGAGAGGGGAATCCAGCCCCTCCCCCTGTCATGGCAGAGAACCGTGACAGGATCGAGAGGTGAGCGAATGCCGGTATGTGTTCGCTCACCTCCCGATTTACTGAGCCGACCTGTGACAGTCTCATTGTCACAGGTCGGCTAGAACTATGAGGTGAGTGAGAAGCACTCATAGTTCTCCTTTAAAGAGTTTGTTGCCAATGTTGCTGTTGCCATTGAACATCTTGTACATGAAAATCATATCCCTCCTTAATCTCCTTACTTCCAACGTGAACATGTTTAAATTTATGAGCCTTGTCTCATAGCTCTGGTCCTCCATTCCCCTAATTTAGTTTAGTTGCCCTCCGCTGAACCCTCTCCAGATCAAGGACATCTTTTCTTAATACTGGTGACCAAAACTGGACTGCGTACTCCAGATGAGGCCGAACCAATGCTCTATAAAGTGGCACAATTATAGACTTGTCTCTGTAGTACATCCCCTTCTTAATACATGAGTTTTACTTTGAGTTTGACATGTCTGTTGGGCGTTTTAATTAAATGTATGCTTCACATTGAATATACTAAAGCATTCAACAGTAATATTTAGCATTTTAAAGATATTTGTTCTTCTAAGGATGAAAACTGGGTGAATCGACCCGTATGCTGCTATGTCCGCCCTCTGAGAGCTGGCCGTCTTCTTGAAACCGCCCGACAAGCTGCACGATTTGTAAATGTTCTGGGCTATGAGAAGGCCACAGTGGTTGGTGGAGGTGGCAAACAAGAGCAGTGGTGCACCATGCTGGCTTTCCTTTCTAGAAATAAGGTAAGTGTGGTTTGTTTTGGGGTTTTTTCCCCTTTAATTTGTAACTATTGGTAACATAAAGACACATGATTGGTAAAAGGTCGGTTGTGTATATAAACCAGTTAGTCAGCCTCAAGAACACTAGTTAGCAGGAATTCAGTTCATATATGAAGCTGCAGTCCTGGCGGTACAAGACCTTCAAACAATAGGTGGGTGCTCGAAGGGATAGTGCTTGTGGTGCCACACCAAAACAAGATCAAGTGATGCATGACCACTCTATGTTGCCTTGAGAAAGGGACCCTGCAAGGCTCGGAAACGTCGGTTCTGTTGTCTCTGAAGCTTTTCTTCACAATAACTCTTGTGAGATGCAATTACATGTCTGGAGTGCTGGTGACTTCACATCTCTTGATCTGGTTAGTAGGGAAACGCAGACAGTTCTCCTTTTAGGCACTACATTATAAGTTGTGCTTTATTATTGATAATTCTATGCTCTTGAATTATGTCTTAAAATTAGGGATGCACCGATACCGAGTATTTTTACTCGTACTCGCCCAAATGCTCCGATACTTATCGGAACACCCGGTCAGAGGGAGATTTCTGCCCGACTTTCTGATTGGCCAGGAAGCTTGCCCCATGCTGTTTGCCTGGGAATCCAGCCAATCAGCATCGAGGCAGCCAAATGACATCGAGCCGGTTTGCCGGCCAATCAGGAAGCCGCGCGGCGAGTAATGACCCAGCTTCCTGATTGACCAGGAAGCCGGCTCGCTGCTAATTGGCTGTGAAGCCAGCTTCCCGGGCAATCAGCAATCAAGAAGCCAAGCGGGGGTAATGACTCGCCGCCCGGCTTCCTGTTTGCCTGGGCGGCCGGCTCCATGCTAGCAGAAGTATTGGCAAGTACCAAAAGGTAAATATAGGTGCATCCCTACTTAAGATAGTCATGTATTTCACTGAGTAGTTTACCCATTTAGGTAAATGTAGCATCTTCCCTTTTTTTTTAAAGGGCGATTGTGAAGACCATTGCAATCTTCTGTGCAGTCTTCTCCTCGGTTTTGGTCTGGAAGCCTATGTGTGTGTCGGTACTAAAGGAAGAGGAGTGGCTCACACGTGGGTAATGACTTGTGCTACAGATGGAGCAATGACCTTCTGGGAAAGTTTGACAGGACAAAGGTAAATTCCAGACACATGTACTTAGTCAAAAAATATTTAAAGTTTACTATTTTTTTAGAAAATGGCCACGCATTTTAAATGTGAATAATGTACTGTTTTGCTGTACTAAAAAATACTGAGAGAGCTTAGCTCAGCTAAGTACCAGATAATCCCTGCATTTAGGATAGATTTGTGATCAGTTCTTCATAGCATTTTGTTCTTGTTCATAGTACGTTTATTTGCATTTTAATGTCTTGGTTTTCTAATCATGCAGATACATTCATAAACCCATCAACCCAGATGATCCTCCCTTAGTGGTGCAGCCTAAGCCTCTCTATCCATACCAAACCATCGGTTGCATTTTCAACCATCAGTGCTTCTTGGCCAATTGCCAGCCATCAGATTCTGTTGATCTGTGTGTATTTGATCTGCATGATGAGTCCAGGTGGAAGCCAATGAGCGGGGAGGCAATTAAATCTGTTTGTTCGCCAGGGTCCATTACCTCTCTCCCTCCATTCCCTCCACTCTGCAGCTCCCTGATTGATGCTGCTACAGAAAGTAATGAAATTGAGCTGCAGCTGCGAGTTCTCGTGTCTGAGCACAGAAAGGTAACATCCAATATTTCTTTAATGGCTGTGTGAATGTCTCCTGTACAGTGTGTATGTGCATGCTAAGCAATGTTATGTTGATGGCTCATATAATCATATAAATGTAGTTGTTTATGAAAGAGCTTTTTACATATCTAAATGTAACTTATTACCGCTGTGGGTTTTTTTTTAAAAGGTTTATTAAGCATTTTTTACATACAGAAAGGGATATAGAAGTCCAAGTATACAAAGACATGTAAAAGCTTGTGCAATCACCGACAATTGTTAGTTCATTTTACAAACTCCAGGATTTGATCGTTGTGGTGTTTTCGCTGATGTGTTAAACATATATACAGGATTGTGGAATGTCAGGGTATTGTAGTGTGGGGAGGTTAGTATTCAGGTCATCCCATGTCCTACAGTGGGAAAGAGGAAGAGGGAAAGAATAGACCAGGAGACGAAAGCGGTGAGCCTGGGATCATACAAGGAGGATAGATTGTAAGGTCCTACTGGCAAGGGATAGGAAAGAGGGGCGCGTGTCCCTGTAAGGAAAACAGCACAGATTCCTGGTCGAGGGAGTGATGGTGGATATTATGAGAGAAAGTTCCTAAATTGAGCAAAGCCCATAAAAGCAATTCAGATGCTCAAAGTATAGATGTATTATTCATATCCATCATGGAGTGAGGCTGTCAGTTCCTGCATGGATTGGGGATGGGTGTTTTCAGTGATTATATTCTTTAATGGAAGGGGAAAAGCTGAACTTCCAGTGCCTCAAAATCACAGTTCTACAACTGGAAATGTAATGGGGCGTAGTGGTATACTTCTGGTTCAAGAGAATAGGGGGGTATAGTTGAGAGATGAGCTGAGAAACCCTACCTGCCAGCAAAGTAAAGTGGGATATCGGGATAGCTGCACCCTATCAAAGTCCAAGACTTTCTCTTTAGAAAGGATCTCCTCCTTCTACTGGCAGCAATGGGCCCTACCGACCACATCTCAGGGAATCCTGATTGCAGATTTTTATGGACTCTTCCATGGGTTCCATCACTGGCCTTCCCAGCAGTGTGTTTTATGTGCCAATAACACTAGGGTGGAGGTCGCTGTTGCTGGTGGTTTCATGGTTTTCATTATACAAGCGTATAATGTTCCTGTTGTGGCGGTTCTCCTGTTAGTCTAGTTGTAGCCACAGGCCCTGGAACCCCCATTGGGTTCCAACTGTTTCCTGTAGCGGAATTACCTCTGTAGTCTAGGAAGCGGATGTAGTTGCAATATTCTCTAACCGGTGGTGGATGCTTTCCAGCAGGTCTTCCTGTAATTCCGACACATCAGGCTTGTGTGAACCCTCTAGACTCATTTGCATGCTTATCCCAGTGCATGGAAAAATAAATTTCAGTTTACCCTACCAACCAGGAACTAGTATTTTGAGAAGGAATGACAATCTCTTTTTTGCTATAAAGCATGTGCTATTTGCGCTGGGTTATTAGATCCCAGATGGCTCGTGCCGACACTTTACATCACATGGCAAAAGTAATTTTAAAAGGTGAGCTGGTTCATATGAGAATTGCAATGCCTTTCTGGAGTGTGTACAATGTAATACTACTCTATCACATAATGATGTAAAGTACTTTTCATAAATGAGCACATTTTGACTCGAAACAGTATTTATATAAATAAATGATGTAAGACCTCCATTTGTAGGGATACGGTCATTTGTTGTGTTTGACATTGGCTAGAAAACATGCTTGCTGGCTGTCTGAGCAGTGTTATCCCAGTCCTGTAAGAAACAAAAATTGGAAACGGAAGCACCACTACCTGGCACAATAAATGTGGTGGAGCAAGCTATGAATGAAAGTGGTGTACTCACCTGTGGCTGGGTGAGCACTCGCTTGTAGCAAGCAGGGTGGAGTGGGGCGGTGGGATCAGCCCCTCTCTTGCTGGGTGGTGTTGTAGTACAACCTGATGGAGACACAAAGGTTGAGTGGCAAGGAGGTGAGGTAGAGTGGTAGGCAACAAAGGGGTGAACTTCTGAAACTCAGCGTGGAGAAAGCGAAGGCAGGATGTCAGCGACGAAGGTGCGGCCAGTGTTGTGCCTGAATGGAGGGCCGTGGGGTGATCCTCTGGGTGGCTTCTGACACAGGGGTCCTGTCGGAAGAATCCGGTGTCTGGCGCTGAGGAGCGATGTTGTGCCGGAACGAGGACTGGAGGGCAGTGGGGCTGCCGGGATGTCACAGAGCACGGCTGCTCGGGAACGTGCTGACTGTGGAGGGGGTTGTGAGTTCCAAAAGGAGCGGAGGTGGACTCGCGCTGCTGCTTCCCCGCAGCCCAGTGGGGGCTGTGTCTGTCGGAAGCTTGCTTTTGGATGCGAGTAGTGGGAGTGTTGCGGCTCAAGCCATATAGAGCAAGTCCGATGCTAAGGGGGTGGAGCACGGTGTCCGGGAAGGGTTACTCACACCGTGTCCGTGGGGAGATAGAGTGTTGGGAACACTCAGAAAGTCTGGTGAGACCGGGTTAGTTCCTCATTTAAACCGTGAGGTGACAGCGTGTTTAATTTGAAGATCCAGTATGTCTCCTGTTTGCAAAGACGGTGGAATCTTTCAGCGGGTGGTAGGTTGTCAGGTATTTGTTCTATTGCAAATACTTTCAAGTATGCTGTGTTTTTCTGGTGTTTTTGGAGAAAGAGGCGTGGGACGCTATGTTCAGTACAGCCATCTTCGATGAATCTCCTGTGCTCCCCAATCCGCTTGCGGAGGGGGCGGATGGTACGGCCTACGTAGAGTAGGTTGAAAGGGCATTGTAGGCAGTAGATGACATGATCGTGGGCACAGGTGATGAACTTGGTGATTGTGAATTTGTTATCCACGCTGTCGTGGAAGCAGGATTGGCCGTGGGAGATGAATTGGCACGTGAGGCATTGCCGTTTCTTGCATTTGTGCACCCCTGTCCTGTTGTTGAACAAGAGTGTCTGTCTGAGTTTTGGTTTAAAGGTGGAAACTTTGCTAGGGGCCACTATATTTTTGACGCTGCAGGCTTTTTAAAAAATGACAGAAGGTTTAGGTGGGAGTAGTGGTCCTAATTGGGGGTCGCACAGTAGTAGATGCCAATTCCGGCGGAGAATGGCTTCAATGGCCTTGTACCTGTTATTGAATGGGGTGATGAAGCAAGCTGTTTTTTTTGGCTGTTGGTCGACTTGTTTCTTAGAGGGTGGTTTGCGGACAGTTGTGATGAACTGCTCACGGGCCTTAGTAATGAGGTGTTTTGGGTAGCCTTTTTTGAGAAATTTGTCTTTCAGGATATGGCTTTGCTGGACATAGTCCTCTTTGTTGGTACAATTCTTGTTAATTCTCCAAAATTGGCCTTTGGGGGCATTGTGCTTCCAGAGGGGGTGGTGGCAACTCTTAAAGGGAAGATAAGAGTTGCCAGCAGTAGGTTTAAAGTGTGTTTTGGTGATGATTTTCCTTCGGAATGTGTGAGTTCGAGGTCTAGGAAGACTAAACTACACTGGCCGGTGACATGGGTGAAACTTAGTCCAGAGGGGTTGGAGTTACGAATTCCTGGATGGTGTCTGGTGTGCCGTCCCAGATGATGAGGATATCATTTATGTAACGGCCAAAAAAGATGAGGTGGCGTGCGAATGGGTTGTTTCGCCAAATATGGAACTCTTCCTAGAGTCCCATGGTCAAATTTGCATAGCTTGGGGCGTAATTAGCTCCCATAGCTGTGCCTTGAATTTGGAGGTAGGAATTCTCTATGAAGGTGAAATAGTTGTGTTAAAGAGGGAATTTGGTAGAATTGAGGATGAATTGTGCCTGCTTGTGGTGGACCTCAGGTTGCTGGGATAAGAAATATTGTAACGCTTGTAGGCCTACCTCATGAGGGATGGAAGTATAAAGTGAGCATACATCGGGGGAAACCCAATGGTATGAAGGTTCCCAGGAGTAGTGACGTAGTGTTTCGATAAGATGTCCGGAATCTCTAAGGTAGGGTGGTAACGATGGGTTGTAGAAAGTGATCAACATAATGGGAAAGGCCACTGGTGAGGCTCTCAATGCTGGATATTATGGGGTGGCTGGGAGGTGTGGTGCTGTTTTTGTGGATCTTGGTTAGGTGGTAGAAAAAGGGTGTATTACGTTGTGGAGGGCAGAGGAACAATTTTTCTTTTTTGGTGATGATTTTTTCTTCGAAGGCTTTATCAGTGAGGGTTTTAAGGGAGGAGAGGAATTGGGGTGAGGGGTCTGAGCGTAGTCTTTGCTAAGTGTCGGACAAAAGTCGTAAGGCCTCTTTGATATAGCCGTCGCGATTTTGGATGACTATGCCCCCACCCTTGTCTGCTTGTCGATTGACAATCTGTTTGTTGTTGGTCAGTTCTTTGAGTGCTTTATCCCAGTCCTGTATCTCTTGGACAGTCATAACTTCAGTAATATGAGCCAAATGTTTACTCTCAATAATGACAATGACAATTGTTTTCCAGCCATGTGTGACTGAACACTAACCAGTCCATTTGTATCAAAGGCTCTGAGGCTGATCATTTTTCAGCTAAAGATAGCATTTTGTGAGAAACATTAGAATAAGGCTCACTACTCCTGACATCATGTTGAGAAACACACTCCCACTATGACATTTTTGTAGTCTCCTACACATATCATACATAAAAATAATGTAACAAATAGTTTTTATTTTTTTGGGTAGGCCTTTAGGCGGGCTGGGCTGCAAGCTGCCCTAAACAATTTCATAGTGGGAGAGGTTGAGGCAAAGTGCATTAACATACAATGTACCACCCAAGCCTTGAGATCTTTACCCTTTTGTTAGGACAGACTGCATTCAAGTATCATTCAAGTCTAGTTTACAACTGATAATGATATCTGCCAGCACAGTACAGACAGGGTAAATTATGCCAAACACTAAAGTGACACTAAATTCAGGAGTTAAATCTTAAAAATGCATTCAAGTACCATAACTATTAACAATACTGTATTTTATTTGTGTATCACTCGGCTGTAGATCCTCAAATCAACTCTGAATTGGTGCTGACACTGTCCTTCCTTCTGGAGGGTGGCTACTTTTGTTCCCTATGGTCTTTGTGTGTATGTTGTAAAGTAGCCATCGTTTCAAGCTCGCTCCTTTAATGGACTACAATCTCAAGTTTAGTTTACTAATTTGTACTGAGATTGTAGTCCATCACACGAGCGAGCTTGGAGCGGTGACTACTCTACAACATATACAGGGACCATGGGGAACAAAAGTAGCCACCCTCCAGAAGGAAGGAAAGTGTCAGCACCAATTGAGAGATGATTTGAGGATCTACAGCTGAGTGATACACAAACAACGTACAGTTCTGTTAGAAATACATTCAAGCACTTTAATAGCAGAACTGTATGTTATTTGTGTATCATTCAGCTGTAGATCCTCAAATCATCTCTGAATTCATGCTGACACTGTCCTTCCTTCTGGAGGGTGACTACTTTTGTTCCCCGTGGTCCCTGTGTTGTTGTAAAGTAGTCAACACTCCAAGCTCACTCCCGTGATGGACTACAATCTCAATACAAATTAGTAAACTAAACATGAGATTGTAGTCCATCATGAGAGCAAGCTTGGAGCGGTGACTACATTACAACACACACAGGGACCATGGGGAAAAAAGTAGCCACCCTCCGGAAGGAAGGACAGTGTCAGCACCAATTCAGAGATGATTTGAGGATCTACAGCTGAGTGATGCACAAATAAGATACATTATTGTTATTAGTTAAGGTACTTGAATGTATTTCTAAGAATTAACTTCTGACTTTAGTGTAATTTGAACTCCTCAGCTCCTTAACATTGCATAGAAAAATATTTAAAAATGGCTGCTTACCTTTTTACTAGAGTTTTACTTGCTTAAAAATCCTACCTAGCTTTCCCTTCTGAGTTCTGCTGTGTGAATGGGAACATAACAAATATAAAGTAGGCGCGTTCTCTTAATTTAGCCACAAAAGTGGACATACGGCGGGACTGAAAGTGAGGGCAAATCTAAAATTTGAAGTTGCCACTAACACAGGAATAGAGGGCAAATCTTCCAATGGGGACACTTGTTCCAGTGACAACTAAGTGAGATTTACTTCCTGTAGTATCTGCAATCTTTTCAATGCATCTCTTAAACACAGATGACAAAAATCCCAACAGGAGTTTTAATCATTCTTTACTCTATCCAAAATGGAAAAGAAATGTTGGCTTTAGATATACTTTACCTAAGACTGACCAACACTATTGCAATGTTAAACTCTTGTGACAAACCCAAACAATGTTTGCAACTAAATTTTTGTAGTTTTAAACCTTTTTTTTTTTTTTTTTTTTGGTGCATGTGTTTATTCCTTTTCCTCAACAGGATCTAGGCCTCGCTACAGTTTGGGAAGATCAGCTATCCTACCTGTTATCACCTGCTCTGGCAGCATATGAGATGGAGCGCTGTACAGGCATCTCAGCTGGCAATGAAGAATTTCAAGATGCCATACAAAGAGCAGTACCCGATGGACACACTTTTAAAGGGTTCCCCATTCATTTCGTGCATCGAAATGCAAGGAGGGCGTTTGCTACGTGTATGCGGTAAGAATGTTTCTTTATTCTAAGGTAATATAATACATCACTTGTGCTTTCATTCAGGCTATTTTTAAACAGGCTATATAAATAAAGTGGCTGTATATGAATATTTAAACAGATTGCAGAAACTAAAACAGATGCCCATGTTTTCATCCTTTGTAAGAATGGAATCGGAATTTTATCCTCATGGCCAAAGAGACCCAAATGTCTCAATTGGCCACACATGAACTCGGTTTTATCAAAGATCACGTTTCCTATACCCCATGAGTAAAATATTAACCACTTCAGCTCTGACACCTGTATACCAGTTATGGATCAAAGCAATATTTACAGATCTGCTATGGGTCTGTTTTATTCAGCAATAAGTAGCAATACTTAAGATAACAACATAATAAATATATATTTTTTTCTATTCAATCTAAAAACAAAACGGTATGAACCTAAATGATAAAAGCACTATTTTCTACTTTGACCAATGTTTTCACCAACAATGAAAAGCCTGGATAAAAAGTCTAAATTGTATTCAATAATGTGTCCCTTTTCTAATGGCACTAACATTGCCTTTCTGGGACAAAGCATTACAAAGATATTAGCCAATGAAAAATAAAATAATACATTTATGAACAAAATGAAAAAAGGTCAAGCATTTGTTTAAAAAACAAAAATAGAAAATTAAATCGATAAGGTGAGAAGTGGGAGAAGGAGTTATTAGGGATGATCATGGTTAACTAAGGTTTAATAAGGAGCTGATGAATGGAAAAAAAATAAAGAAAGGTTTGGTACTGTTTGTGGAAATCTCCTGTAAGACACCATTAGGAAAATGTCGAAATTAAACAGTAAACTTTGTATATTTCCTTACAGTTCTCCACTTTGTGAAGAAATAATTGGCTGTCGTGGGGATCAGATGCGAATTGCAGTTCGCGTGCGAGTTTTCACATACCCGGAATCAGCATGTGCTGTATGGATTATGTTTGCTTGTAAATATCGCTCTGTATTGTGACATAAACCAATTCATTAAGTGCTGCCCATCTAAACATCAACACTTGTAATATTTATTTGCATTTAGATTTAAAATACATATATCTATGAATGTCTATTTTGGTACACCTTAAGATTGTTTTATAATAAAATATTTTGGTCACCTTTTCATTAAAGTGTGATTTGTGTTATCAATGTGAAGTACAGTATAAAGCTAGGATGTATACAAATATGTGTTATGACTGTAGTGATATGCACATGTGGGGGAATTTATCAAAACTGGAGCAGACAGAATGTGGAGCAGTTGTCCATGGCAACAAATCAGAATCTGTCCAGTTTGCTCAGGTAAGATTTGAAAATGAGACCGAGAAGCTGATTGGTTGCCGTGAAAATCTGCTCCAAGTCTGATAAATTCCCCCCAATGGTGTTTTAGCTGAGTTGGAGCTTTGACTATAGAGCTAGTGGTATTGCTGTTATACCACATTTTCAGCACTATATACCCACTGAAGTGCAACTAAAGAACCTATTAATACAGAATAACCCCTAACACATAAAGAAAAGAAGTATCGAGGCACTCATGAGATTTGAATTCTAGCAAACCACAATCCTTAAAATACTTAGTATCAAAGAATTGCCACATAGCAACACACCACCTATAAAAAAATGACAGATCTGTCACATCAGGGTACCCCCACGCTTAAACCATGGGGGTTGTATATTAACAAAGACTTAAAGTAGAATTCAACTCTCAAACTTTTTTCAGATCAAGGAAATATACATTGAGCAGCAAAGTATTTCTTTACATTTTTGCCCAAGCATTTACAGCCATCATGTTTCTGAACAGCTGGCTCCAACTCTCTCAGCTCGCCTTCCCTGATCCTTCCTGTCCAGTACAATATCACAAGAGACAGCCCCGTCTCCAGCAGCTGTCTATCTACAAGCTTGTAAAAGGGAGGAGCAGGAAGCATGCAGCGGGAAAGTGGCTTGCTTAGCTGTGTCTGTGTTTGTAGAGACACACACAAGTGTGGCTCCATAGGACCCTGCAAGAGAAATGAGCCACCCTAAAACAGGATATGATGGCTGGTGCTCAGGGGACTAACTGATTCTGCAAGAAGCTAAAACTTTTCAACATCAAGAAGCAGAATTCATTGTAAGTGATTTAATCAGCATTTGAAATCGTTTAAAAATCTTTTGTCTTTAATATCACTTTAAGCAAAGCCTATCCAGGTAGATCATCTTCCCCATTCCAGGATATAGAAAATCAGATGATTTACCTCGTGCAGCATCCTATTAACACCACCACAGCATGGTTTCATCTTCATCCCATGGGATCTCAACACAGATTTTCATAATGGGTAATTCTGTCTATCAATATAGAGTGTTATCTTCTAATCCAGCAGAGAGGTAATCACTTGAAGCCATAGGATCAGCCAGGACAGAGCAACCTCTCCCATGGGATAGTTTTTGAAATTGTAATCATAACGGACCTTGAAATATTGTGTGTTGTGACGTTTGGGGAAGTTAGCACAAATGGTGAGCGCATTAAGGACGCATCCACTCGCTTATGACTTCTTTGAAGGGCTCCCTTGCCCACTTTTATTAAAGGAAAGTTACACAAAACAAGGCGATTACCCTCGCAGGGGTTCCTTGGCATCTCTTGCACAGGAACACATGCACATCCAACCTCCTGGCTTTGCATTCACAGCACCACTGCTCCAGCCTCAGGCCACTATCTGTTCCTCCAGACTTCCACACTTGCTTTTTGCAACCCGCAGCACCCTGCTGCGCTGGACTCCACTCTGACTCGTCGGTGGCGCTTTCCTGTCTCGCAGGTGGAGCCCTGAACATCCGCCAGCACCCTTTCCATAAGGGCTGTGCACGGGTGTGCAATCATTAGGTGCTGGCCACTACTAAACCGCGGACCCAGGAATGGAGATCTCATCCGTCCCAATTCTCTTTGAAATCTCCCAGTTCCAGGATCCCACGCCAAATCCACAAAACCTGGAAAGTCAGCTCTTTCCCAGTACAGGAACTTGCCTCCTGAAACCGCTCAGCCCCTCTGGCTGAGAGTCCTGGGTGACTACAACCCCCAGTTCTACCGTGGGATTGCCACACGATAGCACAGTGTGTATATAGTTTCTCTCCCAAAAAAGGGAGTTAAAGGTTAGTTTTCTCTGGATTTTTACTGAGCAATTCCTTTAAGACCATATTTTCTGCCACTGCTGTGTTTCGCCACAAATAATCCATTATTGCCAGAATCAGACTTATGCTTTTTTTTCACAGGCAGATGTGCTCCAAACACTTGCCCCTTGTTTTTTTATGTCATGCACTTGGCAGAATAACGTTCACATATAAGTGAGTACTTTCTTCATAATAATATTACTTCAATAGTCCATCACATAGTATACTCCTCTGAATTTCATTGGGCACTGATAATGCTGTACACACAATGTAGTTGGTGATCACATTTCTGGTTTTGTACCTCCTGTTTACTTTCAATTGGAAAGTATCCAGCAACACACAGCAATTCATCCAGACAAAAGCACATGGCGAGGGGCACCCAAAACGGCTGAACACATTGAGACATTTTGTTTGAATTGTCAGAATTTACCTCATGCTTAAAGAACATCTATAGGCTCCTGTATGACAGTCTAGGACAAGGGTATTCAAACGTCATCCCTCATAAGGCATTGCAAGACTCTGACAGCCACAGGCATGCCTTGCAGAGGCACAGTGGAATTTGTGGTGCTCACCTCCAGGACTTCTCTAGAGTCTCTCCCATCCTCTGGAACTCTTTACCCCAACCTGTCCAGCTATCTGCCACTCTGACTGCCTTTAGACGATCCCTAAAGATTCATCTCTTTGGGGAAGCCTATCCCACCTCAACCTAACCACTCAACGTTCTCAAACAATTCATCCCCACACAGCTACCTCCTCGTGTATCACTTCCCCTTCACTTTTAGATTGCAAGCCCTCAGGGGCAGGGCCCTCCTTACCATCTTGTCATGAATTGTATTGTAATTGTCATGTCTTCCTTATATTGTAAAGCGCTGGGCAAACTGCTAGCGATATATAAATCCTGTATAATAATAATTTAATTTAGTAGTTTGTTTTAACACAATGGCTGGCTTGGCTTGGCTACTCCTGGTCTAGGAAACAAATACTTCTTTCCCATGTTCCTCCGCTCCATCCAGTGGCCATAATACGGTATTTTCCAAATCTTACATTCAACCTGAAAAGGAAAATATACCAAGTGCATTTGTTTTTGCCTCTATTCACGCAGTACAATCATTCACATACATTTACAAGGCAGTTGTCTCTGCAAATTGTTTATAAATAGACCCCACAAATTGGTTTAAGGTTACTGGCTCAAGGTGCCTTGGGAGTCACGGTGTACTTACAGGTGTTTGTGTTCTGGGCTGATGAATGGGACTCATCAAACTCCACTGCATATAATGGGGCATTGAAAGTTTTAACCTAGAGGTGAGTGAAGAGACTTACAAGAAATTAGTAACCTACTTGTGTATTGCCTGTGACAACTGGAAGTGTGTTCTCTACTCTGTTTTGACTTAAGATTTAAGTGTTAACAGCTCAAGAGATTGCCTGAATGCTGCAGAATCAAGTAAAGCTGAGGATTCTGGCTTAGAGGTGTTTTTTGCTTGTGTGAGCTTCATGGATATAGAAAAGATGAATTCTGCATAAACTAACCGTAACACATTCATGGACATAATCCGGGCGCTTGCTCATCACGCAATAAGACCATAGCAAACATTATTCATTAAAGTGACATTAAACCCTCAGATTTTTTAACATAAAACAATACTGTAATGTGTGCCTTACTGTAATCCATGGTTGTTTCCCTTCTCTTTGCTGCTCTTCCTTTTAAATCTGTATCTGTTCTCATGCTGGGCAGAACTTCTGTTTTGCAGCAGACTGCCTTGTCTCAGGAATGGATACATGGTGTCTGTGTGCAGGTTCACAACCTGAGCCAGCACTACAGGAAGAGGCACTCAGCTGCAAAGGGAAGTTCTCCCCAAGCATGAGAAGACATGAGGATTGAAAAGGAACAGCAGCAAAGAGAAGGGAAACACCCATGGATTACAGTAAGGCACACATTACAGTATTGGTTCAAACTGCTAGCGATATATAAATCCTGTATAATAATAATTTAATTTAGTAGTTTGTTTTAACACAATGGCTGGCTTGGCTTGGCTACTCCTGGTCTAGGAAACAAATACTTCTTTCCCATGTTCCTCCGCTCCATCCAGTGGCCATAATACGGTATTTTCCAAATCTTACATTCAACCTGAAAAGGAAAATATACCAAGTGCATTTGTTTTTGCCTCTATTCACGCAGTACAATCATTCACATACATTTACAAGGCAGTTGTCTCTGCAAATTGTTTATAAATAGACCCCACAAATTGGTTTAAGGTTACTGGCTCAAGGTGCCTTGGGAGTCACGGTGTACTTACAGGTGTTTGTGTTCTGGGCTGATGAATGGGACTCATCAAACTCCACTGCATATAATGGGGCATTGAAAGTTTTAACCTAGAGGTGAGTGAAGAGACTTACAAGAAATTAGTAACCTACTTGTGTATTGCCTGTGACAACTGGAAGTGTGTTCTCTACTCTGTTTTGACTTAAGATTTAAGTGTTAACAGCTCAAGAGATTGCCTGAATGCTGCAGAATCAAGTAAAGCTGAGGATTCTGGCTTAGAGGTGTTTTTTGCTTGTGTGAGCTTCATGGATATAGAAAAGATGAATTCTGCATAAACTAACCGTAACACATTCATGGACATAATCCGGGCGCTTGCTCATCACGCAATAAGACCATAGCAAACATTATTCATTAAAGTGACATTAAACCCTCAGATTTTTTAACATAAAACAATACTGTAATGTGTGCCTTACTGTAATCCATGGTTGTTTCCCTTCTCTTTGCTGCTCTTCCTTTTAAATCTGTATCTGTTCTCATGCTGGGCAGAACTTCTGTTTTGCAGCAGACTGCCTTGTCTCAGGAATGGATACATGGTGTCTGTGTGCAGGTTCACAACCTGAGCCAGCACTACAGGAAGAGGCACTCAGCTGCAAAGGGAAGTTCTCCCCAAGCATGAGAAGACATGAGGATTGAAAAGGAACAGCAGCAAAGAGAAGGGAAACACCCATGGA